CTTTTTCCCTGCTTCGCCGGCAAAATATCTTCGCGCTCCATCTCCGGGACTGCAACTCCCGGGGCTGTCTGTGGAATCACCCCGTCGTGCTCCTCCTCATCTGAATACGACTTGGTGGGTTGTTTCCACCTAGTTAACATTATTTCATGCTAGGTTATCACCTATCTATTCTGTTTCAATTTCAGTTTATTTTATTTGGTATAACCCTGTGAGCCATTTGGCTCTTGAATCGGGTGCAACCGCAACAAACAAAAAACAAAAACATAACTCCAGTTGTAGTGTTCTTCACAGAGGCACACACTTGATTTGGAGGCAACACGTTTATTTCACAGCCCTAACAGGTTTAGCTACGTAAATGTGCACACGCCAACTAGACCCCAACAGGGTAACTACATAACCGGGTCCGTCAGTAACATCCTGACTGACCCACGATGCCGAGCGGAGACCGAAGATTGCAGAGACGTAGCGTCGAGGGCTGATTCCAGAAAACAGCCAAGAATGCTCCCGGGACTGCCCCTTTATGCTCCTGAACGTGGCCTCGCTCCAGCCTCGGCAACGCCCCCTTCGGGATCTTTTCCAAGGGATCCCGACCGAGCATCACGTGTCCCTCAAGCCCCCTTCGCTACCCTGTCCTGGTCACGTGCCCTCTCTCAGGCGGTCACCAGGACTATGCCCCTAGGGCCCGCTCGCATGCCGTACTCACTCTGCCCCCCGAGAGAGGTTTCAGACGCACAGTAGCACTCTTGTGACAGTGGCTAGCGCTCACACCACAGTGACACCATTAACGTCACGACATATGATAATTGGTTCTTTACCCTTCTATCTGGCAACAAAACTGACACCTTTTTGCAAGGAGTCATGTTTGCATAGACCGCAATACCTGCAGTCATAATACAAACAAAAGAACATAACTCTGATAATGTGCACTGTCCTTGAAGTTGATTGGTCCACACCCGAGACAGCTTTCCTTCGAGCCTAGTCTCATATGGGTTGGACCAGATGACGCCAAAAGGCGCACAACTCAAGGACAATGCACCATCAGAGTATGAGAGCTCGGGGCAAGCATCTACACTATGGGGACCTCATTTGCCAGTAAAAATATGATAATTGGTTCTTTACCCTTCTATCTGGCAACAAAACTGACACCTTTTTGCAAGGAGTCATGTTTGCATAGACCGCAATACCTGCAGTCATAATACAAACAAAAGAACATAACTCTGATAATGTGCACTGTCCTTGAAGTTGATTGGTCCACACCCGAGACAGCTTTCCTTCGAGCCTAGTCTCATATGGGTTGGACCAGATGACGCCAAAAGGCGCACAACTCAAGGACAATGCACCATCAGAGTATGAGAGCTCGGGGCAAGCATCTACACTATGGGGACCTCATTTGCCAGTAAAAATATGATAATTGGTTCTTTACCCTTCTATCTGGCAACAAAACTGACACCTTTTTGCAAGGAGTCATGTTTGCATAGACCGCAATACCTGCAGTCATAATACAAACAAAAGAACATAACTCTGATAATGTGCACTGTCCTTGAAGTTGATTGGTCCACACCCGAGACAGCTTTCCTTCGAGCCTAGTCTCATATGGGTTGGACCAGATGACGCCAAAAGGCGCACAACTCAAGGACAATGCACCATCAGAGTATGAGAGCTCGGGGCAAGCATCTACACTATGGGGACCTCATTTGCCAAAAAGGTGTCAGTTTTGTTACCAGATAGAAGGGTAAAGAACCAATTATCATATTTTTACTGGCAAATGAGGTCCCCATAGTGTAGATGCTTGCCCCGAGCTCTCATACTCTGATGGTGCATTGTCCTTGAGTTGTGCGCCTTTTGGCGTCATCTGGTCCAACCCATATGAGACTAGGCTCGAAGGAAAGCTGTCTCGGGTGTGGACCAATCAACTTCAAGGACAGTGCACATTATCAGAGTTATGTTCTTTTGTTTGTATTATGACTGCAGGTATTGCGGTCTATGCAAACATGACTCCTTGCAAAAAGGTGTCAGTTTTGTTGCCAGATAGAAGGGTAAAGAACCAATTATCATATTTTTACTGGCAAATGAGGTCCCCATAGTGTAGATGCTTGCCCCGAGCTCTCATACTCTGATGGTGCATTGTCCTTGAGTTGTGCGCCTTTTGGCGTCATCTGGTCCAACCCATATGAGACTAGGCTCGAAGGAAAGCTGTCTCGGGTGTGGACCAATCAACTTCAAGGACAGTGCACATTATCAGAGTTATGTTCTTTTGTTTGTATTATGACTGCAGGTATGGGGACCTATGGGGCCGTCCATAAATTACGTCACGCGATTTTGGACGATTTTTGATCCCCCCCCCCACCTTCGTCACACGGCGTCACAAAAAGTCAGACCCCCCCCTCAAATATGACGTAACACATCTTCCCCCCCCCCCCCCCCACAAAAAAATATAAAAGATCCTTCAAATCGCTTTAAACTATTGTCATTGTAGTGCATATTTAATGTGGCACTGCACTCTGATGTTGTGGGAGAAAACCTTTATTAAAACGTCGATTTAATTAAGTAGAACGTGTTGTCTACATTCATTTAAAGTTGCGCATTTTGATGTGACGCCACATTTCTCACCCCCCCCCCCTCGTCACACATCGTCGCAAATGGCTGGTTCCCCCCCCACCCCCCTAGGTGCGTGATGTCATTTATGGACGGCCCCTATGAGTCTCTATGCGACTCTGTATGGGTCTGTGGTCAGAGTATATGGCTGGTATACTTTTCCACGCCATGAACCATTTTCGTTGAGCGAGCATTTGTGATGGCCAGGTCACTTGTCTGAAAAAAAATTGCAGCTCAGTGGCCCCTGACTTGGTAAGCTAAAAATAGTTTAGTATGTATCTACCCTGCGTGTGTTCTCTAGTCCACTGTGTTCCTCTCTCTGTGTGTCTCTCAGTGTAACTATCATCATGTGCGCACAGACTCACAAATAAACCCAGACTCACACACAAACTTACATAGAGACCCAGAGACTCACACAGGGACCGACAGACTCACAGAGGGGCTCACAGACTCACACAGAGACCCACATCCACGCAGATCCCCACCGACTCACACAGAGACCCACAGGCTCACAAAGACCCACGAACTCAAACAGAGACCCACAGACTCAGAGAACCACAGACTCACACCGAGAATCCAGAGAATCACACAGAGACCGACAGACTCACACAGAGACGCACACGGAGACCCACAGACTCACATAAAAACCCACAGACTCGCACAGAGACCCAAAGACTCACACAGAAATTCACACAGAGAGACCCACAGCGCTACATGGCGACTCAGCGGGGGGGGGGGGGGGGTGCTCACCTTACCTGATAAAATAAATAAAACTATAACCGTTAAGCCCGTTAAACATCGGGCCAACGTGGGGCGAACGTTGCATTGAATGTTTTTGTGACTGGCAAGTGCACCTCGGTGTCCCTTTCCGAAGTAAGAAGCAAGATTCGTGGAGACTTCTGCCTCCCATTTAAGGCGGATAGGTCCCTTTAACAGGATGGACCGTTTCCCTTTAAGATCGTGTCCAGGATCCCTTCAAGAATAGACACCGGGTGCCTTTAAGAGAAGTGAGCGTGTCCCTTTAAGAAAGGGGAGCGGGTCCCTTTAAGATGATGGAGCAGATCCCTCTAAAGGTAAATACCAGGGTCCCTTTAAGAAAATTGGTCGTGTCGCTTTAAGAGAAGGGACCGAGTTCCTTTAAGAGAAGATACCGAGTCATTTTAGGTGGTCGTCCATAAATGACGTCACGCGATTTTGGACGATTTTTGACCCCCTCCCGCCATTCGTCACACGGCGTCACAAAAAGTCAGACCCCCCCTCAAATATGACGTCACAAAGCTCTGCCCCCCCTCCCCAACAAAAATAAAACATGCCTCAAATCGCTTTAAACTATTGTGATTGTAGTGCGTATTTAATGTGCCGCTGCACTCTGATGTTGTAGGAGAAACATTTATTAAAAAGTCTATTTTATTAAGTAAAACGAGTTGTCTATATTTATTTAAAGTTGCGCAATTTGATGTGACGTCACATTTCTCAGCCCCCCCCCCCCCCTCGTCACACATCGTCACACATCGTCACAAATGTCTGACCCCCCCCCCCAGGTGCGTGACGTCATTTATGGACGGCCCCTTAAGAGAAGGGAGCGAGTCCCTTTAAGAAAAGATACCGGTCATTTTAAAAGGGACTGGAATCCTTTAAGCGAATATATTGGATCCCTTTAAGAAAATTGGCTTGAACCCTTTAAGAGAAGAAACCGGCTCCCCTTATTAGATGCAAATGTAGCGTAACCCTTTAAGAGAGAAACGGCCGGGTCCCTTTAATGGGGAGGGGCCGGATCCCCATTCGGGAAGGATCTGGTGCCTTTGAGAGGTAAGGACCGGGTCCCTTTAAGAGAAGGACCTGGCCCCTTTAAGACAGGAAATTATCGCTTCCCTTTAGATTTTAGAAGATACGGGGCGCCTTTAAAATAATAACGCTATGAAATGACCGGGACCCTTTAAGAGATGAGACCCGGTTGGTGTTCCTTTAAGATGAAGGATGGGGGAGTGGTCCCTTCAAGAGCAGACGTCCCTTTAAGAGTGGGTGGAGTGGGGTAAGGGGAGTTGTCCTTTTAACATGATTAGGGAGGGGGTCCCTTTAAGAAGAGCGATGGGGAGCGTCTCCCTTTAAGAGGATTGGACTGAGGCGGTGTCCCTTTAAGAGGAGGGATGGGGGAGTGGTCCATTTAAGGGCATTAGGGGGTCCGTTTAAGAGGCGGGATGGGGGAGTGGTCTCTTCGACGAAGATTGGGGGGGTCCCTTTAAGATGCGGTACTCTGGGGCCGGTGTCCCTTTAAGAGGAGGGATTTGGGAGTGGTCCCTTTGAGATGATTTTGGGGGCATCCCTTTAAGAGACGGGACTCTGGGGCCGGTGTCCCTTTAAGAGGAGGGATTTGGGAGTGGTCCCTTTATGAGGCAGGACCCGGATCCAGAGACCCGGTTCTGTGGTGTGGAGAGAAAACGCCGAGACGCAGCAGAGAGACATCGGGGCGTGAAGATCTCTCCCCTCGGCCGTCTTTGTCTTCCCGCGTATCACCCCCCTCCCCCTCTCTCCTCCTCCATCCCTCGATCCCCCACAACCCATTTGTCTCCCCTAGAATCCTTTCATCTCGCCGCGGCCGCCTTTGTCTCTCACTGTCGTCTCTCACCTCCATCACTATCTCGTCTCTCTCCCAATCTCACCTCGTCTCTCTCCCAATCTCACCTCGTCTCTCTCGCTCACCTCGTCTCTCTCACCTCGTATCTCTCTCTCTCACCTCGTCTGTGTCCACCCGCGATGTCGGGAGAGAATCGAGAGGAGCCCGAGGCGAAGCGAGCGCGGACGGAGGGGCCCCCGGTGAGGTTCAGCAGCTGCATCATCAGCTACATCATCATTAATCAACATCAGCAGCTGCATCATCAATAATCAACATCATCAGCTACATAATCAACATCAGCTACATCATCAATAATCAACATCATCAGCTACACCATCAATAATCAACATCATCAGCTACATCATCAATAATCAACATCATCAGCTACATCATCAAGAATCAACATCAGCTACATCATCAATAATCAACATCAGCTACATCATCAAGAATCAACATCAGCTACATCATCAATAATCAACATCATCAGCTACATCATCAATAATCAACATCATCAGCTACATCATCAATAATCAACATCAGCTACATCATCAATAATCAACATCAGCTACATCATCAATAATCAACATCATCAGCTACATCATCAATAATCAACATCAGCTACATCATCAATAATCAACATCAGCTACATCATCAATAATCAACATCAGCTACATCATCAATAATCAACATCAGCTACATCATCAATAATCAACATCATCAGCTACATCATCAATAACCAACATCATCAGCTACATCATCAATAATCAACATCAGCTACATCATCAACAATCAACATCATCAGCTACATCATCAATAATCAACATGAACATCATATCATCAGCTCCATCAGCATCAATCATCAACATCATCATCAGCTACATCATCATCATCAGCTACATCATCATCAATCATCAACATCATCAACATAATCAACATCATCAACATAATCATAATCAACATCATCAGCAGCAGCAGCTACATCATCAGCAGCAGCTACATCATATCATCGGCTACATCATCATCAGCTACATCATCATCGGCTATATCATCATCAGCAGCAGCTACATCATCAGCAGCAGCTACATCCATCACCATCAACATCACAACCACCACCATCATCACCACCATCAACAACACTAACATCACCACCAATATCATCATCACCATCAACATTACCACCATCATCTTCAGTATCGTCATCTTCACCATCATCATCAAACTCATTAACGTCATCATCACCATCATCTTCACCATCATCACCACAATCAACAACACCATCATCTTCACCATCATCACCACAATCAACAACCACACCATCTTCACCTTCATCACCACCACCACCATCATCATCACCGCCATCATCATCATCACCGCCATCATCATCATCATCACCGCCATCATCATCATCATGACCGCCATCATCATCATCATGACCGCCATCATCATCATCATGACCACCATCATCATCATGACCACCATCATCATCATCATGACCACCATCATCAACAGCACCACCATCACCACCATCACCACCACCACCATCATCAACAGCATCACCACCACCATCAACAGCACCACCATCACCACCACCATCAACAGCACCACCATCACCACCACCATCAACAGCACCACCATCACCACCATCAACAGCACCACCATCACCACCACCACCATCAACAGCACCACCATCACCATCATCAACAACACCACCATCATCAACAACACCACCATCAACAACACCACCATCAACAACACCACCATCAACAACACCACCATCAACAACACCACCATCAACAACACCACCATCAACAACACCACCATCAACAACACCACCATCAACAACACCACCATCATCACCATCATCACCATGACCACCAACATCATCACCACGACCATCAACATCATCACCACCACCCTCTTAACCACCACCATCATCAACACCATCATCATCATCAACACCATCACTACCATCATCATCAACACCACCGCCACAATCATCATTATCATCACCACCACCACCATCATCGTTATTATCATTATCATCATCGTCACCATCATCATCGTCACCACCATCGTCACCACCATCATCGTCACCAACATCATCATCATCATCGTCACCACCATCATCGTCACCACGATCATCACCATCACCACCATCATCTTCATTATCACCACCACCATCTTCACCACCACCATCACCACCACCATCACCACCACCATCTTCACCACCATCTTCACCACCACCATCACCACCACCATCAACACCAACAACAAACCACCACCACCAACATCATTGCCATCATTATCACCACCACCATCTTCATCTTCACCATCTTCATCTTCACCACCACCATCTTCACCACCACCATCTTCACCACCACCATCTTCACCACCACCATCTTCATCACCACCATCTTCACCACCACCATCTTCACCACCACCATCTCCATCATTATTATCAACACCACCGTCACCACCGTCATCACCACCATCGCCATCTTCACCATCTTCATCACCACTACCACCACCATCATCATGACTACTACCACCATCATCATCACTACTACCACCATCATCATCACTACTACCACCATCATCATCACTACTACCACCATCATCATCACTACTACCACCACCACCACCATCACTACCACCACCACCACCATCATCATTACCGTCAACACCACCACCATCGTCATCACCACCATCTTCATCATCACCACCATCACCACCACTACGATCATCACCACCACTACAATCGCCACCACCATATTCATCTTCACCACCACCGTCTTCACCACCACCACCACCAGGTCACCACCATCTTCACCACCACAGTTACCACCACCATCACAACCCCTGCGTGTGTGTGTGAGTGTGTGTGTCTGTGGGGAGCTGTAGCGGTTAGCGCCCTGCGCTATGAACCTGGCGACACGGGTTTGATTCCCGCTCACGGCCAACACCAGTGACGATTATCTGAACCGGTCCTGGGCCTCCCCTAGGTCGACTCAGCCTCAAATGAGTACCTGGTGCAGTGTGTAAAAATTGCCACTAGGGAGACAAAGGCCGTCGGGCGTGGTGCTGGCCACCCACTCCCTCGTGTACCGTTCTGGCCTTCATCGGTGCTCGCTAACAGCACTTGCCACTACAGTCTGTTAAGGCTATATGGGGGATCTTTGTCTGTGTGTGTGAGTGTCTGTGTGTGTGTCTGTGTGTGTTGGCAAAAACAACCCCCTACCTCCTCGCGGTGCCGGACGGGCAATGCTGTCGGGGACAGTGCTGTGGGGGGGAGGGCCAATTCCGATTTGCATCTCCCCTCATGGCATCTGTGACCACCACAGTGGCTAAATGGGGGCTCTGGATGTGTGTGAGGGGCTGGTAACCCCTCCACCTTCAATAAATTACCACTAAACCACGACTAAAATATCTAACTAATAAGTTTGTGCCGGAGGCCCCAGGGGGCCAGGCGTTTATTACGTCTCCTGGCCAAACCCCATCTGGTGGAGCCAGGAGATTGAATCTTTACCCTTAGGGCTCCTCCAGAAACAACGACACGCCACTACGGATGGCCACGTGGAATGTTTGAACGCTCACTGCGGAGGAGAGGCTGCCGCTCCTCTTTTGGGAGCTGGACCGGTACCGCCTGGATCTCTGTGGCATTCAGGTGGACCGGCTCTGGCTCCTGTCACCATGAGAGGTGGACAGTCCTCTACTCGGGGCAGGAGATTGCCAAACAACAGGGTGTGGCTCTTCTTCTGAACAAAAGAATGAAGGGGGAGTGGGAGCGTGGTGGTGAGGTGTGGGAAGCTGTAAGCCCCAGGCAACTTTGGGCTCACCTTCCCATCAACCGGAGGCGAGGAGTGGTGGTTGTGGTTACTTATGCCCCCACCGAAGACGAACATCCTTGGAGGGATGCAGGCAAGGCCGATGAGTCAGATGCCTTCTATGACTTCCTGTCACAGGTGCTAGCTAAAGTGGCCCCTCGAGATAGAGTCATCTTGTTGGGTGACTTTAATGCCCGAGTTGGTCATGATGCTGGCACCTGGTCTGGAGTAATTGGAAGGCATGGGCCAGATCAGTTCAATAACAACGGTAGGAGGCTGCTAGATTTTTGTGCAGCCCATGGGCTTATAATTACCACACCCTGTTCCGGCATTGGCGCATCCACACAACATCATGGATGCATGCCGGGTCCAAGCAATAACATCTGCTGGACTACATAGTGACGGATCAGCGGTTGCGAGCCCATGTCCTTTTGACACCAGGACCAACTGTGGAGCTGATCTGCCCTCTGACCATCGACGAGTCATCTGTAAGATGCGCCTGCCATTCTTCCACTCCGGTGGTGGGTGTACACCCAGGACCCCATTCCAACCTAAGGTGGGCCTGGTCTCAGCTGATGAAAGTTGCAAGCGAGAATTTCATCATCGCTTGCGGCTGGGGTTGGCATCGTCCCCCACTCCTGATATTGAAGGTAAATGGGCGAGGTTTAGGACTGTCACTCATGCAGCTGCAATGGCTGCTTTGGGTATGTGTTCCAGACCTCCCCAGAGACCCTGGCTGACAGAGGATGTGTTCAGGATGGTTGAGAAAAAGCGACAGGCCCACTCTAATCACCTACAGCATCCCACGTCAGAGAATGAGGAGGCTTACCGCAGCCTTCGCTCGGAGGTTCGGAGAGCCGTGAGGCGCTGCATGGATGGGTGGTGGTCGTGGGTTGCTGAGGGAGATGGAGTCTGCCTCAGTGGCCCACGATCACAAATCCCTATTTAACTCCATCAAAAAAGTAACCTGCAGCGCCACACCTATTAACCTCATTAGGGGAAAAAACGGTGATCCAATCTCCGACCCCCAGGAACACATTTGCAGATTTGCTGAGCATTTCTGTGAGGTCCTGGGGGAGGGGAAATCCCTCAGCCAGAAAAACATCGTGGCACAAAGTGGGGATGACCATGCTGAGGCTGCAGTGCCTCAAATGTTGGAAGAAGAAATCACCCCCTGTGAGTGGCTGTCTGAGGTGCTATCTGTTGAGGAAGTACTGAAGGCGATCCAGAGTCTGAGGCCAGGAAAGGCACCAGGCAGAGATGATCTCCCAAGCGAAATGCTGAGGGAGGGTGGCGTTTGTGCACAGACTGCCCTACATGACATAACAACAGTCTGGACCACTGGATGGGTTCCGCAGGATTGGAAGGGTGTCCTG